TTCTCATCGTTCTCGTTCTTTCTCTTCCTACCACTCCATCTATTCCCCTTGCTTCTCCATAGCAAAGAATCCAAAAAATTTGGGTACTCATCACCACTAATAACCATCAATTTCATCCCATTTGGATCTAGCTTTTTTTTTTTTCTTTTTTATCAGATCTGAAATTTTTCATTCATTTTTTTTTTTTTTTTGCTCTAGCTAGCACCTAGATCTAAACTCTTAGATCCTAGAAACACCAGACTACCTAATCCCTCTCCCTCCCACGAAAACCTCCTCATTTTCCTATCAATGCAGCCTCCTTCCTCTGAAGCAACATTGAAAGTAGCACCACCATTTCAATTTCTTCCACCACAAAGATCGACATTACTGAAATGTTGAGATAAAGGGATTTGAGATTCACTAACCCAGAGAGATGAAGGATTTATTATGCAATTGAAAAGAGGAAAAGTAGTCTTGAATTTTATGGGTTTCAAATGAATTTTTTTTTTTTTTCATCTTTCTGCATGTACTTGCGATGTTCTTCTAAATGCTTGGTTGAATTCCTCTCATATTCTATAGATTGGCAAAATCAAGCTAGATCTCCAACTAAGATTTATAAAAAAAAAAGTCAATGGATTTTTCTCTTTTTTGTTCTTGTGTTGGAGATGAGATAGATCTGGGAAAGAGAAAGGATTTTTGACTATTTGTTAACTTTAATCTCTTAATTTTAACTTTAATAAAAAGAAAATTGAAGAAGATGAACAATATCTTTCCATTAACTACCCTAGCATAACAGGAGGAATGGCAAAGACGATGAGTCTAGGAAGATGACTAACAAAAGAAGTAGATCAAGCATGAGAAAGAAGACAAGGACACTTGCTGAGTTTGTGTTTTTAACTATTTATAATAAGTTAGAATAAGTATATACACAAATAAGACATTATTTTTTCCATTTGAACCGCTAGTGTGATTAGCTGGGTGTTGATTCATGGTATGCATGAATCATTTCCCTTTTGAATAAACATTTGATTTTGCTATAAATTTTTTTTTTTTTGAAAATTGACAATTAGATTTCTTCTTCTTCTTCTTCTTCTTCGATATTAGATTGTAGAATGAAATGTAACTTTTTCATATCTTTTAATTAATCTCAATGTCTTGAATTTAAAATTTCTTGTTTTTACTGAAAGGAGAATATTATTGGGTTGCTTAAGTTGTGGACAAATTTGTCTACAATTTATTTTACATTAAATGTTATGTGCTCATGTAATTTGTTTTAAGTTAAAAGGTTTTCTTTTTCTTAATAAATATTGTTTACCCTAGATTACGAGTCCAAATGACCAATTAATTGACAACAAATGTTCCCAATGTGTATGGGATTTTGCTTTTACGATATTTCTTTACAATCATGCTCTACTAAAATTATTAATTTATTAATAGGACCAACCCAAATTCAAGTTTCTGTATGACTCTAAAGTCCTTAATTTTGACAGATTGAACATGATGAACAAAACAGAATAGCTTCATTTCCTTGCATTTCTTAAAAATAATGTAAGAACCTTACAACAATTCAATATTTGCCCACTTCTCCTTTTGGTAGAAGTGAGCCAAATCCTAATATCTGAGCTTTTCTCTAGATTTCATAGAGAAACACAAGCTATGTGTAATTCGCTCATTTCTGTGGATTTAATTTTCCTGTAATAATGGATTAAGACTTGATACCCTCCAAAGTTGCTTGGAGGAAGATAGAATGCTTGAGGTCTCCAATGTGTATGTTATGTGCACCCATAGGAATTCTTCGAATTCCAAACTTATCCACGACGCTAAGGTGTTTGCAAACATCAACATCGATCTTGACACGCTGTTGAGATCTAGCAACAACATGAATTTTCTCGAATCCTATCAATTGCTTGTTCAGGGACCATTTTCCACTTGGTGGGCTGGAAAATACTAGAAGTGTCTGAGTTCCATCAACATCACCCGTATTCTTGACGTCGACGTGAAGGCCTAAGGCCAGAACTTCGCAATTTGTATGCTTGACTCTCACAGCGGAGCTCGAGAAAGTTGAGTTACCAGAGGTGGAGAAGCTGATTCCGAGGGGGATTGTGAGTTCTGTGGGAGCTTGGGCTAAAGAATGTGTGAATGTCGTGTAGCTTATGCCATGACCAAAGGGAAATACAACAGGGCCCTTGTAAAAACGGTAGGTCCTGCCAGGGTACCCTCCTGAAGGCCTCATGCCCATGTTTGTCATGGGCACCTTGGCTACATAATCTTGAGGATACCATGTCATTGGCAATTTTCCTCCTGAATGCAATCCAAAACATTATATTATTCGTATAGTTAAAAATAAGCTTTTTAAATGAAACGAATTCTTTGTTTATAATAAAATTTTGAAAAATACCTGGATTATGGGTTCCGAATACAACATCTGCAATAGCAGCTCCTCCAGCTTGACCAGGATATCCGGCCCAAATAATAGCACCAATGCGAGGGTCATTCTTAGCGAAAGACACATCAACAGGGCCACCGCACATTAGGACCAACACCACCGGGCCTCTAGAGGCCTTAGCCACTCTTGTCACAAGTTCTTGTTGGTATCCAGGCAAGAGCACTCCTACCCTGTCCGTGAACTCTGCTTCAATGGATTGATCAAGTCCCATGACAAGAACCGTGGCATCAGCCTGGCGCGAGGCCGCCTCGGCTGCTCCGAACTGCTGGTTGCCGTTACACGCGACGTTCAAGCATCCGGCCTGGTGAACTGTCCTTGCATATCTTGAAATTCCTTGTAGTGGAGTTGTGTAACCACATGCAACTCCTACATTAGGAGTCAAATATAAGGAAATTTTTCCATTTTGTTAACATGTACTAGGAAAATTAAAAGAGGTTTTTACCTGCATAGTTTCCTATCATGGTCACAGTGACATCAGAGTTAGGCCCAATAACAGCGACGGTACGGTGTCGTTTTGTGGACAATGGCAGGGACCGCCCAGAGTTTTTGAGCAGGACTATGCCTTGTCTGGCTGCCTCAAGGGCTAGTTGCTGGTGGGCTGAAGTGCACACGTCTGTTGGGCCCAAGTTGCCGAATTGTTGGGCAGATGGCTCACCATCGAACATTCCCAATCTCATTTGGACTGTTATGGTATTGGCTAGGGCCACATCAACATCAGCCTGAACCAGCAGGCCTCCTCTCACTGCCTCCTCGGTATGGACCGCCAAAAAGGGCCCACAATTCAAATCCAAACCTGCTTTAATTGTTGCTGCAGCTGCTTCTTCTGGAGTGGCAGTATAATGTTGGCTTTCATATAGTACTCCAACTGAATCACAATCAGACACAATATACCTGAAAAAAAAAAACATCCCAAAATTTTCAGATTCTTTCATTTAGGTCACTTTTTAGGGTGAATGGGGCTTAAAAGCACCCAACACTGACCCATTAAGCCGCCACTGTCCCCTGATAGTGCCCTTAAGAAGGTCAGGGTCAGCACAGGTGGGCTTTCCATTCACTTGATTGTATGAGCACATCACACTCGCAACACCCCCATCCACCACACATGCTTTGAAAGGCACATTATATGTGTCCTCCAAATCCTGCTTGCTAACCTACAAAAATCAACTCAAGATATAAACTTAGTTTGATACAAATAAACTAATCCAAAATATGATTTAACCTGTAAATTGAGATGTTAGTACTAGGACCACGTGATAGTGTCCTAAGAAGTGTGGTCCTGGTTTTGGTTTTGAATAAAACTGATGAGCTATCAATTTTTGCTTTTGGGTAGATGGATCGTGCAAGCTACAATGCAGCAGTCATTTTCAGTTTCTTATATTCTGAAAATAGACAAGAAATGCAAGGAAAATTTTCTACTTTCTCCAAATATTCTTGCCTTCTCTGTTTCAGCCAAATTGACAAATTGGATAAATAACATCAAAATTCATTACTAATGGGAAAAATTAATTCAGAAGACACTCTGTATCAATCAATCTGAATAGTTCTTTTTTTTCTTTCTTTAATAAATTGGTAAAATTTTCTTACCCTAGCATTGAAATGGTAGCGATCGACACCTTTCCAATTATCGAGATCATAAGCAACATAATGCTTGCAACAGGCAGCAACCTTTAGGCGGTTTCCACTGGCACCTTGGAGGCCCCTGACATAGGCGGCAGCATATTTTCCTGCAAGAACAGGGTCCTCGCCAGGGGTCTCTTGACCTCGGCCCCAACGAGGGTCACGGAATATGTTAACATTAGGGCTCCAGTATGTCAAACCGGCGGTTCCTTCATTGTACATTGCTCTAGCTTCATCAGATACCACCTGCACATATGATACCTGGCAAATTACTAACAGCTAATTTTTTTCGATACATGATGAAGGGCTATTCAACATAAAATAGTTTTTCTCCTGAAATATGTTATCGTTACTCTTTTTATAATTCTAAACTTTGAACTTGCAACTTAAAGTTTCAAATTTTTATCCTTAAAAGCCCCAAGTCGATTCGCAAATAAATATTGTCAAAATGAAAATCCAAAAGCGATGGCACATGTAATGAATTAAATTGAAGAAATATACCTTTCATATACATGGGACCTAACGTAGTAGATGCCCACGCAAGTTGCTATGATATGGAGGAATCTTCGGTTGAGTCAATAATTGATCATTCTCACTCAGGAAATTATTAATTAATTATAACTTTCTAATTTTTAAACGAATTATTGACAACTATTTGAAGCCTTTTGGGTACTTTATATATATATATATATGTATATATATGATGATCTAGGCGATATTCCCTCGAAAGCCAAAGCTGAGGATTTGTAACTTTTACTAGAAATCCAACCTTATAAATGATTAGTTAGTTAG